TTCTGTACACGACTACAGGCAGTGCGAACAGTAGCCAGTTTCTTTCTATTTCCTCACTGTTTGTCAACGCCAATTCTTTTCCTTTTCTTTCTAAGTAGACTGGATTCTACATTGATGTGATTGAAGTCCCTCTGCAGGGTCCCTCTGGGGCCCTTCACAGTAACTGAGCGTCCCTTCAGAGAGATGTCCACATTTTCCGGAATGTCAACAGTCTGATTGCTGAGAATGGTCTTCATCCTCGCAGTAGATGCATCAAAGACAGCTCCATTAATTTTTATATTTTGTGGTCCAAACCTATTCCTGAATCTATGTAACCATTCCTTACTTGCAGTAAATGGCTTGGTGTTGTTCTTTTCAGGGAATCCCTTGCTGAAGTCTTCATATAGGTTCAATGCTTTCTGGTGCATTTCACTGCAATCAATCAGAACATGCTCTCTGCTCATGTCTTCCAGACATAAATTTAATGCGTTAACTAAATACTTCCACACACTGTGATTGTAACTTTTGCAGTCTGAGATGCAACAGTAAAACTAGCACAAATTTCTTTTTCCTTCACAATCTCATGGATAGAAGATTATGAATTATTTCACTTGTTTGCTCTGATGGTCTTTCGATTTCTACATGCTTTAGCTTACTCAATAACAAAGCTCTGCACTTATAAAGCCATTAACTCTCATGGGCCTTTACATTCCACAGGCCCAGATACAATACATCGCCTGGCAGTCTGCTTGGATTGGCCACCGGATTGAAAGAGAGAGCAGAGTCTGGGATGATTCCCAAATGTCTGGATCTGGTGACAGGGAGACCATGGCAGGGTGAGCTTGAAGAGAAAAAGCTGTATTAGGAACTGATGAATCTGAAAATCCTGTGGGCTATGTGGTCAGAGAGACAGCCAGTACTGAAGGCTATGCATGTCTGTGGTTCTAGGTCACATCAGCCAAGGAGGGTGCCTTGGCATTGTCCCCAAGAACAAAACCCTGGGAAATATAAACATCTAAGGGTGGAACAGGAGAAGAGGGTTCAGGATAAGGACTGCAAAGGTGTCTAGTGTCTGGTAAGTGCCTGGCACATAGCAGGCCCTCAGTAAATACTGTTAAAGAGATGAATATGTGATCAGGCCATCAGGGCCTGCATTGGGTTGGGTGGGCAAACAGGCTCAGCCCATTCTTACTGGCAGCTATTCAGAAATAGGCCTAGAACCCAGAGTCCCCTTGTCTGCTCTTCTCAGATCACCTTTTGATAACTGCTAAGTCCACATCACATGCCCTTGTCTCCTTCCTCCTTGACCTCCCTCACACTTTCCTCTTCATTTCTCCAGGGTTCTGGCTCAGCTCACTCCAGTGACCTATGCCCACCTGCCTGCATCATCACCCTCTTCAGGGTGGAGCACCTACAAGACAAACCTCCTTCTGCCAGTATAGATGGTCTCTCATGGCATTATTGTCCTAAAA